ACATGGTGGCCCAAGCCATGAAGTCAGAGGGAGGCTTCATCTGGGCCTGCAAGAACTACGATGGCGATGTGCAGTCGGATTCTGTGGCCCAAGGTAAGGGGTAGGTTACCAAGGGGAGGTGGCCTAGCTGGAGATGTAGCCTGGTACTAGCAGAGTACTTACCTACTGTGCCTGCATTCCTGTGTTGGATGCCTGGACACACCCACACACTCTCACCACACATACACATGCGCACACACTCTGTCAGGAAGCCATTAGGAAGCAGGACTTACCTGCATATCTCAAAGTGATGCCTACAGGGGCATCTGGAAGGATCAAGTAATTATTTTGTATCCAGACATTCAAGATGTATGTCAAAAGGCTATCCCAGGTGAATGTTTGTGTTAGTTTTAATTATATTTCCTTTTTCCCAGGAAATACTACTTTTTGTTGTATGAAAGGCAAATATCTCTTAGCAGTCTGAAAGCCAGTGGATAATAGCTTTGATGTCAGATCCATGAGTTGTATCACTCTGTCCTCTCCTTTTCTTGCTCTAAATCTTCACCATCACATTTCCCAGTGCACAGAGAAAGGGTAGAGCTTTGTGGAGACTTCATAAAGGAGGACAACTCTTCCTTATACTCACAGTTCTGAGAGAGGGACCCAAAGTTCTTCCATGGCGTGGTTTTAAGTGTCTTGATGGTAAACATTAGACATTATCTGGAGAAATAGTTCATGTGTAAATGCCTAATTAAGGAAATCCAAACGATTTTGAATTAAGAGTTATAAAGTGTGGAGATCCCCAAAGAGACCTACCCAAGAGCCAGTGTTGGTCCAGAGCCTACAAGTCACCGATCTTAGGCAACTCAGCAGATTAAAAGGCAGCAAAGCTGTCTTCCCTCTCATTTTTCTCAAGAGGCTTGAGCTACTTTGAACTCACACTGTTTCATTTATCTGACCTCAGATCGGGTGATGGCACTGAGTTACTTCCTAATAATGGATAGACAAATTTACCTTGGTATGGTAACTATGAAATTCTCTAAATATCTGTTTGGCTGGATGTGGTGGTGCACATCTGTAATGCCAACACTTGGGAGGCTGAGGCAGGAGGATTGTTGTGAGTTTAAGGCCAGCCTGGGTTACAAAGGGAGTTCAAGGCCAGCCTGTCTCAATAGCTAGTCTCAAAAAGATATAAATAAATAAAGAAGCATTTATGAAGTCTCAGGAGGAAATGGTAATATGGAAGAAGCTACTAATACCACACAGAAATCTCTTAACTCTACTGAAAATTCACCAAAAAATAAGCATAATTAGAGTGATTTCCACTTTGTCTTCCACCAGGGTAGGGACAAAGAAGGTAGCACTCTGTTTAAACTTATATTACTACACAGGTGCTCATGGGAGGTAGCAACAGTGGAGAGAAGGGTTCTATGATTCCAGGTGAAAAGGAGTGCACAAAAGGGGAGAAATCAACTGCACAAACTTAAAAGTTGGAGTACAGTTTTCTGAATAGGAAACCATGGAAGAGAATTGTTAAGCAAACTCGGAACAAGGAAGAATAAATGGGTGTGGTTGGGTGCAATCCATGCTTCCCCCCGCCTTTTCTTCCCAGTCCCAGCAAGTCTGAGCAGAACACCCTCACATAAGACAGACAGTGACACACTGAGCTTTTACTCCAGCACGTACTATGCTGAGGAATGTGAATGTACATATGTATATGAAAATACATATATATGTATATACGTTTACTTAATTATATTACAGCTCAATGAAGTGGGTGCTTTGATTATCCCCCTTTTACTTAGTTACTTTTCTCTCATTGCTGAGACAAAATACCTGACACCCAAAGCTAAAGGAGGAAAGGTTTATTTAACTCACAGTTTATTTCAGTCCATAGTGAGCTGGCTCCAAGGGTAGCATGGCAGAGGGGCAGCTGTTCATGGCGAGGGAAGATAGCAAAAGCAGCAAGAGTTTAGAAGTATCTTTCTGCCCCTTTTATCTCATCCAAGCTACCAGGATTAGGGCAGTGCCAAACCAATCAGTGGGCTGGTTTGGTCATCACACACCCTTGATCCCAGTATCACGCACACTAGATCCAGCCACCTCTGAAAAGGCCCTCTGATAGGCTTGAGGATTTATCTAGACACAAACCATACCATACAGGTACGAAAACTAAAGTCACAGCAGCTGTGAAGCCCCAGAACCAGGGTGAAATGCAGGCAGTCAGACTCAGAGCGCTCCATCATGGAGCAGTTACCCCTGCAATAAGTGAGCAAATGTTACAGCCTTCCCAGAACATTTGACTCTACAATCTGGAGCAAGAACTCTGCTTTCTGAAAAGTAGAAGAGTTACTGGTCACGCCTCGTGTTTACTTTATCAAGACCTGACAAGGTGGAGTCAGTTTCCCTCAGCTCTGAGAGACCCAGGCTCTTCATGCATTGGACTCAGTACTTCATGCTGTGCCACCTGCAGGTTATGGCTCTCTTGGCATGATGACCAGCGTGTTGATTTGTCCAGATGGCAAGACAGTGGAAGCCGAGGCTGCCCACGGAACTGTAACACGCC